TTTATCGTTGGTCATCAAATTCTGGATTCTACTCTTGTTGCCAGTAAGTGTGTGAACTCTAGATTGAGTAGTGGTATTTAGGGCTGTAAATGAGCCAAGCCGAGCTTTAGAGTGTTCAGGCTCAGCTCGTTTCAGCCAAAGGGTTGCTCGAGCTCGATAAAGCTGTAACTGCCTTTGACCGAGCTCGGTAAGGCTCAACAAAAAAAAAAAAAAAAAAAAAAAATCAAATCATTCGATTCCCAAAAAAAAAATCACACTGCATATGTATGTTATATGAATTTATATGTATATATTACCCATGGATATTGACTTCATTCAAGCAAATATGAAGAGAACAAACCAGATGAGAAAGACTTACAAGGGGGGAAAAAAAACAGATAAGAGAGAACAATAAATGCGAGAGAATATGGTCTGTGATCGTCCAGTTTAACGTTGCTGTGGTTGTTGTATGCTTGGGAAGGGGTGTTCGATGGCTACGATCATGACATGGAGAGAGGAGAGAGGAGAGAACCGATGATTTTAGTTTCAAAAATATGCCGCCTTTGAAGATGCTTTTAGGGTTGTATTGAGATGAGACATGTATATATATAGATGGGCTTCACAATATGGGCTTAAATTTGGGCCGTCTTAAATTCTTAATTTGTGCTAGTTCATTATATTTTTGGGCCTTATATAATAAATGGATTTTAGTTAAAATTATTGGGCTTTATATATAAATGAATATTATATAAATTTAAAGAATTTTCACTTATTAATTAATGTATGAATTTATATATATATAAATGAATATTATATAAATTAAATGAATTTTCACTTATTAATTAATGTATGAATTTATATATATACACACATATTTGCGAACACGTTAACGAACTTTGTTCACGAACATGTTCAAGAACAAACGAGTTGAAAAGGGGTCTGTTTGAGATTGGTTTGTTTATGAAATGAGCCTAGAAATTTTGTTTGGGTTTGGTTCGTTTTCTAAGTAAACAAACATGAATTGAGCTATTATCGAGCCGAGCTCGAGCTATTTGTCGAACGCTTGGTTCATTTACAGCCCTAGTGGCATTCCAGGAGTTCTCTGTAAGCTTGATATTGAGAAATCCTACTATCATGTCAGTTAGAGTTTCTTGTTGTGTATGTTGGAGAGGTTGGGGTTTGGGGAGAGATGGAGGAGGAGGATTGAGTTCTACATTTCATCTGTGAGGTTTTCTATTTTGGTGAACGGGCTCTGTTTAGCTTCTTTGGCAGTTCTCGGGGATTGAGACAGGGAGATCCTCTCTCTCCCTTTTTGTTCATAATTGTCATGGAGGCTATCAAGAGGTTGATGAGGAGGGTTGTGGACTTGGGATTCATTAGGGGTTCAGGGTGGGCAGAGATTTGGATCATCAGCTCAAGATCTCCCATATGCTCTTTGGTGTTTTGTGAAGATGTGTCCCAGCTGAGATACTTGAAGTGTGTTTTGGTTTGCTTTCAGGCTATCTCTGGCCTAAAAGTGAATGCAGGGAAGACCTCCTTAGTCCCGGTGGGGGAGGTGCAGGACATTGCCAATCTTACCGCGATCCTAGGTGTGGAGTTCCTTCTTTCCCCATTTCTTATTTGGGTTTGCCGTCGAGAAGGGTGGGGAGTTGGACCTGTGATTGAGAGGTTTGAGAAGAGGCTTGTCGGGTGGAAAAAGCAGTGTCTTTCTAAAGGTGGGAAGGTCACCCTCATAAAAAGCACGTTGTTAAGTCTTCCTACATATATCCTCTCTCTCTTTCAGATCCCGACCTCCGTAGCTGAAAGGATTGAGAAGCTCCAGCATAATTTCCTCTGCGGTGGATTGGGGGATGAGTTTAAATATCATCTTGTTTGGTGGGAGCAAGTGTGGGGTGGCTTGGGTGTCAAGAGGGGGATCCCTTTTAACAACGCTCTGCTAAGGAAGTGGTTGTGGAGATTTGGAGGTGATCGCCATAGGTTATGGAGGAGGGTCATCTCATGCCGCTTTGGGGAGAAGAGAGGTGGGTGGTGTTCCCGAGTGGTTAGATTTTCCGGTGGCATTGGTGTTTGAAGTTTATTCAAAAGAGTTGGGATGAATTTTCCAAACATATCAGATTCAGAGTTCGAGATGACAACGACACTTGGTTTTGGGAGGACTTATGGGGTGGCGAGCATTTGTTGGCTTCTTCGTTTCCCAAGCTTTTCATGATTGCCGTTGATAGACATGCTTGGGTGGCTAGCTATTATTGGCTTGATAGCAAGAGGATCACTTGGGATGTGCGTTTTCAACAGTTTCATGGTTGTGAATTGGACGACGTTTCTGACTTGATGGATCTGCTGTATAGACATACGCTGGATGGGGGATGCGTTAATTCCCTTATTTAGGTGCCCTCCCCACAAGGGAGATTTGATATCCAATCCTTTTTCTGCTGCCTCTCAGGGGCTGATTTTCCTCGGAACACGGTTTGACGCTCAAAGGCTCCCCTCAAGGTGGCTTTTTTTGTTTGGACTGCAATTTGGAGCAAGATTCTGACTCTTGATAACCTAAGAAGGAGAAGACAGGTAACGGTCAATTGGTGTTTCATGTGTAAGAGGGATGGAGAGTCAATGGATCATCTTCTTTTGCATTGCCTTGTGGCTCACGACTGTTAGAGTTTGATTTTTGGTCTGTTTGGTATGCAGTGGGTCATGCCCCGGTCTTCGAGAGGTTTGATTGACTCTTGGAGAGGGTGTGGTGTGGGTTCTCACGCTCATCATTTTTGGAGGGTGGCACCCCTTTGCGTTCTGTGGTGCATCTATAAGGAATGGAATAGTAGATCTTTTGATGGGGAGGAGTCTCCCATAGGAATGTCAAAATACCGCATTATTGTCTTTTCTAATGGGGGATGGGGAGATATTGTACTTTTTTAGAGGAGATTGTTGATCTTTTGGGCTTTTTGGGTCCTTAAATCCCTCTTTTTTTTCTTTTTCTAGGCTTTGGCCTTTGTGTATTCTTGGTATGTGTTCTCCTTTTGAACGCTTTCTACTACATTTTTACTTTTAAAAAAAAAAGATGTCAAAGGTCAGATCCATGTAGTTTCACACTCCCACACCTCAAATTTCAATTAATGGGGACCCCACTAGGTAATGACCCCTACTTTTCTCAGAAGCTCAATTGTAGAATATTGATCATGATCAAGATGTACAATGATGGGCTTTTTAGTTGGATAAGTGGCACGGTGGATATCTCGCTCACATCTTCTCTTTCTTGATAACATCCTATGTGGAGCTGAGGAAGCAATTGAGGTATTGTAGGTGTGTGCTCCTCTATTTCAAGGTAGCTTTTAGTTGCAAAGACAAATTAAGAAGAGTTGTTTTCCATTGGAGAGATGGCGAATTTTGAGGCCTAGGTAACAAATTTTGGTTGCAATGTGGTTCAATCCCAAGGCCTACTGACCGTATTGAAAATGGTTGCTGGAAGTGGCCTGCAGTAATCCTAATTGGGAGGAAATCCACTCAACGGTGCATGAGGGGTTGAATTATAGTCCAAATAAAGAAGATTCTGCGATTTAGGCAGACAGTAACAAAAATTTCTCTGATAAGGATGCTTGGAAAACCTTCAGACCTACTCAACTCAAACAAACACAATTTAAAAAAAATTCCTTTTTATGTTTATGCATCTATGGTTTTTTTTTGATAAGTAAAAATGTATTAACAAACGCGCTCAGTGGGGAGCGAACCCTTAACAAAGCAAACAAGAAACGCAAGATGCGACATTACAACGATAAGTTGTCAACAAAATCCAACAAACTATCTACAGATGGGCAATTCTTTGGTTATTAAAGGTGGTTTGAATGAACCTTTTTAGTCTTGCTTAATCTAGTAAAATACTTGTGAATTATTATTGTAATCCTTGCTAGCTACAACATAGGGGGAAAGCTAACCTCCCCTCCTTCAAGGGAAGGATAAGCTTTCTCCCCCTTTTTTTTTGGACAGAAACTAACCTCAGTAGAATCAGCCAGCTCATAAAAAGGTGGATATTTATGTAATTTCAAAAAAATAACATCCCCAACTTCTCTCTCACGCGTCTCTCCCTCATGATTCATTGACCCTGAGGTGCGCCAGGTGGGTTTCTTCGCCCCCACTGCACTACCATCACCGCCACTAGATCAGACCCAGTGCGCCAGGTGCTGTCTATAAGCTTTTTGCTAAAGTCCTAGCCATTCGCTTGAGGAGGGTCATGGATGAGGTGATTTCAGATTCTCAAAATGCTTTTGTCGGAGGTCACCAGATCTTGGATTCCGTTTTGGTTGCCAGTGAGTGTGTGGATTCCAGGATCAAAAGCGAAGTGCTGGGGGATTGTTTGCAAGCTGGACATTGATCTTCCCACTTTTGTTTTTTTTTTTTTTTTAAAAAAAAATGAATACAATCGAAGCTTCACGGATCATTTGCTACACCCTGGCGCATTTGCATTTAAACAACAAAATGTGGTATGCCTATATCTTCACATGTCAAGGTTTTCTTTTTACAAGAATGTACTCCTTATACAAGAGCCAAGGGTAATAAGCTGGTGTCACAGAGTTGCAATGCCTGGCCTTTTCTTGGTGTTTTAACAGCTTGCTCAAATTGAAGCAAAAATCTAGCAATCAAAATGGTTGATATTGAATTCAGCAACCCATACTTGCAACCAGAACTTGACAAATATATATATATATATATATATATATATATATATATCAAGAACTGCAGTCCACATGGTGCAGGGAAACTCAAAGAAAGTAGTACAAACTGGCTCCAGATGTGGTAAGGCTTCATTTCTTCAAGATTGTAGATTGTATTCTAGAAAATGGAACACAATGATCATATGATACTTAAAACCTTAAAAGTTTTCTTTTTAAAAAGTCTTGTTCAAAAATAGCGGTCAGCCAATTCAAAGGATGCAACATATGTAAATGCAGTAGTACAATATTGATGTAGGAGTAAATATTTGAACAAACAGATTATATCAAAGAAAACAAACAAAATTGACATATACGGTGTACCAGCTGTTGTACAACGATATTCGATTGCTGAAGTCGCTGGATCCAAATCCTAGAAAGTAAGCAAGGCTTATAAGTTTCCACGTTAGAGTTTAAAGCATAATTCAATAGATGGTAACAATCTACTCATTAAAGTAAACCCTAATCACCACAAACTCTGGTGTATGAACGACGATTCATTTGGATTATTATAACAGCAGTGACGACTCAAAATTAAAGAATACCAACCCCACAAATAATTTAGAATGTGAGAATTAATAGGAAAAATATTTTTGTTGTGTAGGTAGGCATATGCCCAGTGTTTTGAGAGGGGAGGCGGGTATGAGTAAAACATAAATGAAACAAGGAGACAAAAGAATAGGTGAATGAGAAAACATGCTTGTGTATCACTTCAGAGTAGTTCGGAAAGATATTTTAACACAACAACCAATTAATCAGTCGAAAACATTCTCAACAATAAAGAACTACCAACAAACTATAGAATTAACAAAGATGCAGTCTACTCCACAGCATGGTGCTATGGCAAAAGTTCAGTCAATCAAGCGTGGGAATGAGGATTCAAATCCTGAGAGCGGCCACTTAGTACAAATAATGCCAAAGATTAGGAATTTAGGACTATATCCAGTCTACTACTCTAAGCGCACTCTTGATTAATGGGGACCACACTAGGTAAACCAACAATGCAGTCACCTTGATTAGTATTGAGCAAAGACTAGGCAATATTGGTCATGATGGTAGAGCTCAAAAAAATTTCTGTATTTAGTTATTTTGCTTGATTTCTACGTTATCAATTTTGTTGGACTAGACCATGTTTCTCTCTATTGAATGTTATATTGGATGCTCCAAATTGGTTTTCTTTTACATGTTTGTCAATGTTTACCACCAAAACGGTAGAAAGGTTAAAAAGTTTAATTTTCTTTATTTTGAAAGCCATTAACTTAGGGAGCGATATACACGATTCAATATCATGAGTAATGTTATGTCATTGTTTCATTTATAATTTAATTCCCTCAAGATTTCTTGAATTACTTATATTGAGATTGATTATAAATTTTTTGGTAAGCTATAATCTCAGGCATAGTTTTGATTGCCTGTGATTTGCATATATTCACAAGAGCATCAACAAATCGATAAAGTTCTCTATGTCATATTGTCTACAGCTTTTTCATCATCATCATCATTGCCTTTATTTCAAGACAAATAAAGGTCGACTACATGAATTCTTTTTTCCATGCTATTCTTTTTTTTAAGCGTTCAAACGGGGAACGTGTCCCAAGAGCTATACAGAGGACGAAGCCAGAGACAAGGTCCTAAGGACCCACCGAACCCAAAAAATTAATGAACTCATCAATGGATATACAATTTCTCCCCAAAACCCAACTAAAAAGAGAGCTAATAATATGAAACTTCGAAGCCCCTAAGGAAGATTCCTTCCCTTCAAAAAGATCTTCTATTCTGCTCCTTCCATAAGCACCACCAAACACAAAGGGGAACCACCCTCCAACACTCACGGGTGTGGGCTCCCACACTACAGCCTCGCCAAGCTTCAATCAAACACCTCGAGGACCGTGGACGCCGAAAAGGCCAAAGATAAAGCTCCCACAGTCGTGAGCTACAAGGAAATGCAAAAGAAGGTGATCCACAGACTCCCCACTCCTCTTGCACAGACAACACCAATAGACTAATCTGTCTTCTCTTTCTCAAATTATACAGGGTCAAAATATTGCCCCAAACAACAGTCCAGACAAAGAAGGCCACTCTGAGGGGAGCCTTGGAACTCCATACCGTCTTCCAAGGGAAATTAGAACCATGAAAATCAAAGAGACAAAGGAATAGGGAACAAACCTCGAATCTCCCCTAAGAGGAAGGCACCCAAACCAGAGAGTCAGTGCCACTACCATCTATCTCACGTCCGTACAACAGCTCCAACAAACTTGCAACCTCATCCAACTCCCAATCCTGAAAGGAACGCTGAAAACACATATCCCACGTGAGCCTACCATTATCGAGCATATAACAGTCGGCCTCCAAAGCATGCCTATACACGGCAATCCGGAAAAGCCTGGGAAAGGAACGAGCCAACAAGCAATCACCACACCAAAAATCCTCCCAAAACCGAACTCCTCTGCCATTTCGTACTTTGAATCTAATATGCTTAGAAAATTCATCCCATCCCTTACGAATGAATTTTCAAACACCCACACCTCCGGCGAATCTGACCGGATCAAAGGACCACCAGCCTCTCTCCTCCCCGTAGAGGCACACAACAACCTTCCTCCAAAGGCGATGGCGCTCACTTCCAAATCTCCACCACCACTTTCCCAAAAGAGCCCAGTTGAAAAGAGCCAACCTCCTAATGCCCAGACCTCCCAATGAAATTGGCTTGCACACTTAATCCCCCTGTCCACTCCAAAGGAAGTTCCTGTTGAAGTCTATCAATCCTTTCAACTACCGAGGCGGGAACCTGAAAAAGGGAGAGAAAGTATGTAGGGAGGCTCAACAACGTACTCTTCAAAAGAGTAACCTTCCCGCCCTTCGAAAGATACTGCTTCTTCCAACCAGCCAGTCTCCTTTCAAATCGCTCAATCACAGGATCCCAACCTCCTACCCCCCTTGACGGAGCACCCAACGGCAAATGCAAATAGCGGATAGGAAAAGAGCCCCACCCCACACCCAAAGTACTGCAGCAAGAGATGCGGTGTCCTGAACCTCCCCTACAGGGTCAAGCATGCTCTTTCGTACATTAATTTTCAAACCAGAAACTACCTGAAAATATACCAGGACACACCTCAAATATCTTAACTAGGACACATCACTGAAAACCAAGGCATCATCCGCAAACCGTAAATGAGAGATCTTCATCTAATGACCCGAGTCTCTACCGACCCTAAAGCCCCTAATAAAACCTAGACCCACTGCCCCAACAATGTGCTGAGAGCCTCCATAATAATAAGGAATAAAAACGGAGATATAGGATCGCCCTATCTCAAAAGCTTAAGTAGAGGAATGCATTAGACTTATATTATGACCAACGTATATATAAAGTTGAAAGGAAAATGTTATAGAACATCTTATAAAACATGTTATAGAATGCCTATTGGGCCGACCATGCTTCATGAACAAAATATTAGGTAATTAAGAAAAAAGATACCCCACAAAATAAATATAAACAAAATGACAATGTAGAATGGGTATGTCAATAAGAAAAATATTAGGAATGAACACATTTAAAACTAGAAAATAAAAATTCAAGATGGTACAATTAGTACCAACTGATGATAAATTGAGTGAAAAACCTATTCAAATAATTCTGTTTCGAGTAATGTAACAAAGACAAATAACTGCACAGGCTGAAGAGCACTAGGGCAATGGAAAACACCAAAATTAACATGGCTAGAAATAGCAAGGAAATATATAGTGGCATCCTAGCTTCTGATAAGGATTCCGATTTATCTTGATAATTTCTATTACTAATTTCCTATTGTTTGGTATGATCATACATGCACATAAAAATATATATGTATAGACTTAATATTTTCCCTTGTTCTATATTAGAACTAACCATACCGCATGAAGGCGAGCAATCTTGATGTTCTTCTCCACAGCATCAACTCCCATTACAGTAGCGCCCATCCGTGCCAAAGGCTGAACAAGCAAAAGAAAAGAATAAAAGTAAACAACTATCAATTCTAGTTGAAATTGTACCTGGGTAAAATTTCATCTAAGCAAATATAAGTTAAGCTAAAAAATAGCATTTTGTTTATTGTCAAAGACATGTGTCTTTATATATCCACAACGATTTGTAGGACAAATATTCTAATTTTTGTCTTAAGATCTTGAGGGGTTATTTTTCTTGCAGAAACCTTGAAAGAGCCAAGCAGCAGCACCAACAACAAAATGATAAGTAAAATTACTATAACATGAATTCTTTTATATAAATATATATATATATATAAACACCACACACACACATGTTCTAATTTTTGTCTTAAGATCTTGTGGGTTATTATTCTTGCAAATACCGTGAAAGAGCCAAGCAGCAGCACCAACAATAAAATGATAAGTAAAATAACTATAATAGGGTTTTTTATATAATAAATATATATATATATATGTGATAAAAAATAATAATAAAATATATAAAAAAAACCCACTAACACACATAAATATACTAAAGAGCATGCACCTGCTCTTAAGTGAACATTTATGCACTAATGAACATTAATGCACTACCAAAAGTATCTGATTCAGAGTTCGGAGTGGGAGCCACCTCAGGTTTTGGGAGGATCGCTGGTGTAGCGACTTTGTTTTGTCTCATAGGTTTCCTCTGTTATTCAGGATCTCTTCGAGTAGACATGCTTTGGTTGTTGACAATTATGTGCATTTTCATAAAGAGTTTCATGATTGGGAGCTTGCGGAGGTTGCAGAGTTCTTAGCCTTGCTTTATAGCCAGGTGGTGTAGGGGGCAGGAATGGATGAGATGGTGCGGGTGGGTACTCCAAGAGGGGTGTTTGAGGTTAATGCTTTCTATCACAGCCTTTCGGAGATCCAAGGTCCTTCTTTTCCGCGGAAGGCAATTTGGAGGTCGAAAACCCATTGAAGGTGGCTTTCTTTGTGTGGTGTGCCGCTCACAAAAGTATTCTTACCTTTGACAATCTCAGGAGGAGACAACAAATTGTGGTTAACTGGTGCTGTATGTGTAAGAAGACGGAGGAATCCGTGAATCACCTTCTTCTGCACTGCCCAGAGGCTGACACAGTGTGCAGAGTCCTTCAATGCAGTTCTTGGCAGCAGTGATTATATCCTAGTCATCGATGGATAGAGGAACAAGAATGGAAGAGAATTCGACAAGGAGTCGGAAAAAGCAGCTCATTGCTTATCCATAGACTGTGGTCACTTTGAGATGTTTGGGCTATGTTTTTTATTGCGTTTGGCATGCCTTGGGTGTTCCCATGATCCACAGTGGATTTGATTGAGGCTTGGAGAGAGGGTGTCTAGTGGAGAGCCGAGCCAAGGATGTTTGGAGGGCCACTCCCCTTTGTTAAAGATGGGGCTTGTGGTGTGAGAGAAATAGGAGATCCTTCGAGGGTGAGGAGACCCCTAATTGGTATCTCAAATACAAGATATTGTATTCTTTATTTTTTTGGGTTCATGGGTACAATTGCAAATGTTTGGGAAATCTTTTGGATTTTGTGAATAGCTTAAAGCAATAATTGTCGCCTTTGGTGTCTTGGGTAGTCTTTTGGGATCGCTCCCTGTTGAGCGCCTTTTATGAAATCTTACTTATCATAAAAAGAAAAAGAAAAGTGAATGCCATAAGTAAGTAAGGCCACAAGCAAAGGTTCTTTGAAAACTCACTTTTGAAACCACGCCAGACAGCCATTCAACTCATTAGAGGAAGGTGGAGGAGAAAGACGAGTATTGGGGCTGATCCTCGCCATTAGGGAAAATGGATTCATAGAAACGAGAGCGCCAAGCCATTTCGCTATGTAAGCAATGCAAGATCTACTAAATAAAAAAGAAGGAAAAGGAAAGAAAAGAGAAGGAAGAAGAAAAGAACAAAAAAGGGGTAGGGTTTAGCAATTGTGTTAAAGAGGTTTCAAAGGACTAATGTGAAACATGCCCCCAGAAAGCAGTTATTGGGTCAACAATCTTCTGGCACCAAAGCTAACTTCCTTGCTAGATAGCTCTCTCAAGACCATTTCAAAACTTACTCCCACAACAAGACACTATATATATTTTTTTTGATAAGTAAATATATTAGAAAAGTGTTCAAAAGGGGAATGCATCCGTAATACACAAAAACGAAAAACCTAAGGACCAACAGAGTCCAATAGATCAAACAAATCATCAATCGAGGAGCAAGCAGTGCCTCTTACATAACAGAAAAGAGAACGAAGAATATGAGATTTTAAGTTTGCTAGAGACGATTCCTTTCCTTCAAAATTTATGTTATTACTCTCTCTCCAAATACACCACCAAACACAGTGTGGGACGATCCTCCAAAAATCACGAGCATGACCTTTAACAGGGCATCTTCTCCATGCGTTGATTAATTGAATAGAGTGCTTAGGCATTACCCACTGAACGCCAAAAATACTGAATATGAGATTCCAACAATCATACGCCACAGGACAATGCATAAGAATCTGATCCACGGACTCACCGTCTGTTTTACATAAGCAACACCAGTTAACAATGGTATCGCCTCTCTTTCGCAGATTATCCAATGTCAAAATCTTTCCCCAGGTAGCAGTCCAAACAAAGAATGCGACTCTAAGAGAAGCTTTAGAGCGCCAAGAAGACACTATATAGATCTACAATTTTTTCCACTATGAGAATATTATCTACTGAGACATCTATAGTTGCTCGAAGCTAAAGAACAAATTTTTAGAATAAGGCAGGCATTAGTTTTAGTATATAGTGATACAAGTATAAGATTCAGAACTATGGAAATAAATGTGCAGAAAAGAACGAATTAAAAAGACATTTTCTTACAGTATGTGTTTTGTACGTGAAACTAAAAGAGCCTGCAAAACAACTGTATCTTTATCATCATATGTCACTCTTTAGGTGGTACTTTCTGTTAAGGACTGGTAGTAATTGGGTTATTACAGTAGAATGCACTTGTTTCTCACTTCTTTCTTCATCGGTACCTCTTAAATTCAAAGTAAAATGTAGCTGAAGTTGACAATAATGGGTATTATATAATGTCTCTAGGGAGTAGGAGTCCATAAGACACGAAATGAGCTTTAAGGATGTACTTCATCTGTATGATTATATTTTGGGAAGGAATAAGAGTCAATTTGCTATCCTTGCCTGCAGTGCTTCAAAAATTCAACCTACTTTTATGTACAAAACATAATCAAACACAGGATTGCAGTAGTTTCTTTGATCTTTCCCCAGTTATATTACATCTCAAATCCTTGTAAGGATCAACCCCACCCACCCCCCTTCCAAAAAAGTAACTGTGTGTGTGTGTGTGTGTGTGTGTATACATATAGAGAGAGTAAGGGCTTCAAGAAGTTGAATTTTGATAGACGCTCTTTATATAATAACCAATAAAAAAATTATAAAAAAAAATTAGCTAGGACAAAGCTTCATCAAGTCAAACCTTTAAATGACATTGCCCTTCACCAAAGCTCACAAATCTGTCAACCTTGAGGTGATTTCTATGGCTAAGAAAAAAAACTTGTTACCATGTAAATTTTCTAGGGAGATTAGATACCAACCATGGAATCTTTTTGAGTTGTTTTTCATTTGGTCCCATATTTGTACCTGTGATTCTTTTCCACGAGAAAATCTTCTCCACCTAGGGTTTGCCATTGAAACGAGCTGTTTGAGAACAGCTTAGGCTTGGCTCCACAAAGGCTCGGTTCATGTTCGTTGTTTAGTAAATGAACCAAGCTCAAACAAAACTATTGGGCTTGTATATTGTTGAAAAATATAAAAATTGAAGAGAGAAATTAAACATGAAGAACAGAAGGAAAGACGCACAAAGCCCAAAGGGCTACATCACCCTTACTATATTCTCACTTGAGATTGTTTACAATGAGCACCTCTATTTATAGGTGAAAGAACAAAGCGATAAATATGGAAAATACATTAATGGAGGATTCATAAAATCAATCCCATAAATCACTCCAATCATATTTTATCATAGACTAAAATCACTCCCACAATATTCTCAAACCAATATTCTGTGGAGTAATTTAAGGTTCCTATAATAATATTCTCCAACATATATTAAATGAGCCAAGCTCAAACATTGCTCTGCTTGGCTCGTTTGTTCATGAACACATTCGTGAGTGAGTGAGCTTAGAGACTCATTTTGAGCTCATGAACACACAAGTATATTTATATATATATATATAACATATATACACACACAATTTCATATTTCTATAAGTCCAAGTCAACCATAGATAACAAGTTTCACAAAATTATTGCTAGTGTGTCTTTCAAATCTTAGGGGTTGCAAACTGTTGGTTCTCGTAATGGATAACAAGTTTGAGCTTGGCTCTCCAAATAAAGCGAGCTGATCAAGCTGAACTCGAGCTTTTTCAATCTCAGACGAGCCAATACCGAGCACAATTGGCAGCTTGATTTGAATTCGAGCCGAAGTTCAAACAATCTTGTAGTATGACGGAGCTGAGCTCGAACGGTCACCTACTAAGCTCAGCTTGGCTCGTTTACAGCCCTACCTCCACTTGTTGTTACCTACTTGTTCCTTAAATGAAGTTTTTACACCTTACCAGAGAAAATTCCAAAGATCCCATCATATTTGTGGCAATATTAGAATACAACTTAATCATCTATGCCCAAATTTTCATGACACTAGAAAATTACAACTCAGAAAACGACTGAACAATATAGACACTGTTAACAAAGTAAGTCAGAACTCTAACGAACCTTCAAATCTTCAATCTTTAACTTGTTGATGGGCATAATATAGGAATACAAGGAAATGAAAGAATGCAACATCAACAATGTAATTAGCCAGAGATTTTACTATCTTTAAAAAATAAAATAAATAAATAAAAAAGAAAAACAAATGCAATTAAAAGCAGCAATTGATAATGGTATGTGCTTGAAGAGGTTGGTGTATGCAAAAAGAAAGAAAGCCATAGGCAGGAAAATTATAAATTGGTGCATCACCCAATTTAAAGAATAACCTCTGATAGAATTCCCCCTCCACATCCAACATCAACAAACTTTAGTCCTTCAAAGGGCCTAGCACAATTTGGATCCTTTCTGAAACAAGGAAAATTACAAGAGGTTCATTTAGCCAGTTTTATAACAGGGCCAGAAAAATAATAGATGAAGAATAACGCAAACATCTAAATGAAATCCTTGCAATGGATCCAGTAAAGAATTCTGAAACATACAAAACCAAGAAGTAATCAAATACTTACTGTAGGAATTTTGAGATAATTGAATTCAATTATTTTTTACCCATTCTGAGGGTCAAAAAATATATTCATAGGAAGGTATTATACAAATAGTTTATGATAGTACAAGCTAAAGTGAGGGATGACTTGTTCCGCTGAATGCTGAACCTTTCCCCAATTCAACCCATCCAAATTCCAAACAAAAGGTTTATAGACCCGACGCTGGTTTTGCCTTACAGAATTCTACTCCTTCCGGGTTTACGGGCTTTACGAAATGGGGAAAGGGGAGAGTAACGGGGCAGAGAAGAGCCCAGCGAGATTCACCGGCAAAGGGGGCAGCAAGGTACGCGAATGGCACTCTAGACAGCCCGCTGCAGACCTATTCTAAGGGTATTGAGTTATGGTCAAACATGGATGACAGAGGACTGACTTTGTGTATTGGGAAGGGGATTCAGTTGAACCTTCAGAGGGAGTAGGCAACCTTATTGGCAGTGAAGCTGTACAACAGGGCAGAAATTTGGGCAGATTGGGAGGTGGCACTAAGTCTACTAACGCGGCAGATTCAGAAGGTGGATTAGGCTCTTCATCTGATGGGGAAAATGAGGATAAGCTTAATGCTGAGGCAGATGAGGGGCTGCCGAAGGATCCTTTTGAGCTCAACCATGTGATGGTGGTTAGGGGAGAGGAGGAAGGTGAAGGATGGGATCCCCGACAACCATTGGCAGTCATGGTTCACGAAGGAGAGGGTGTTGTGAATGAAGAGTCCATGGTGGACAGTGAAGAGGGTTGATGAGTTATATTGGGGAGGTGAGTAAGAAAGAGCCTTCGCCTATCTATGATGGGAAGGAAGGACAGGCTATGGAGTTGTTTGGCTCTATCAATGCAGAATGGAGGGTTGATAGAAGGAAATAAAATCAGCATGGAGGGGGTAGATAGAGCTACAAAACCTTATATCCTATGTGAACTATGATGGTAGGAGTGGGTCAGAGAGGGAGAAATGTAAGGCAGAAATTGGAGAGATTTTGGTGATGGAAGAGATTTCAGGGAGGCAAAAGTCTAGAGCTTTGTGGCTTAAGGAGGGGGGACCGAAGTTTTTTCATGGGTTGGCCAAACAAAGAAGAATCAACCACAACAGGCTGATCAGAAATGGCCCTATGTTGAGCAAGGAGGAGAATGTGGAGGGAGGTGTCACCTCGTTCTACCAGCAATTATATACGGAGTCTTCGGATTGGAGACCTCTTTTAGGATGTTTGGAGTTCGACTTGATTTCTTTGGAGGACCAAGTTCACTCAGAGAGGCCTTTTGAGGAGGACATGTGGTTTTGGCTTTGCAGAGTTGCAGTGGAGACAAAGCCCCAGGGCCGAATGGGTTTTTCATGTGTTCTTTCATCAGAATTGGGAGGTATTGAACGAGAGATCATGGAGGCAATCAACTTCTTCCACTTGCATGGGAAGTTTGAGAAGTCAACGAACGCTTCCTTTATTGCGCTCATGCCTAAGAAGGGGTGGTGTCGTTGATGTTAGAGAGTATGTACAATTATCCTGACCATTGGACTACAAAGGTTAGGATAATTGTAGAATGTATAACCTAGTATTTTTCAAAAAAAAAAAAAAAGGTAGCATGTACAAGCTAATAGCCAAAAACCTAGCGGCAAGGCTGAAGGAGGTGCTTGATAGGCTAATCTCAATCTCAAAATGCTTTTGTTTGAGGCCGTCAGATTTTGGACTCAATGTTAGTAGCAGATTTGCAAACCAGTCTGGGATGGTGGGCTGGGAGTGAGAAGATTATACTTCCTCGACATAGCTATGTTGGGCAAGTGAGAGACAGAAACTTCGGAGGAAAGTCATTTGCTGTAGACATGGAGTGATTAGAGGTAGTTGGTGCTCCTTGGTGGTGCGGTCCCCTGCGGAGGTGGGTTTGAGGAAGAACATTCGGAACGGTTGGGATGAATTCTCAAAGCACATTTGCTTCAAGGTAAGGGATGGGAAACATTAGGTTCTAGGGGGATCCTTGGTGTGGCGAGAGGCCTTTAGAGAGGGTTTCTCCAAGATTGGTTGGGATTGAGATGGACAGGTATCTTTATGCATCTTTTATGAGAGAGTCATCTTAGAAGCATTACTCTAAAAATTTTTTTTTTTTTTGGGTGGGGGGTCGGGGTAAAGTAAGATTTCACAAAAACGTTCAAGAGGGGAGTGCTCCCAAAAGAATACACAAGGTACGAAAGGCAACCACTGTAATTTCAAGCTACCCACAAAATCCAAAAGGTGCCCCATAGATTTACAATTGCGATTTATGCCCATAAACCCAAAAGAATAAAGTAGACAGAATATTGAATTTGAGAGACCAAATAGAAGTTAACTCTCTATCGAAGGATCTCCTATTTCTCTCATGCCACAGACCCCGCCATAAATAAAGGAGAGTGCCCCTCCAAGCGTCTTTGGCTCGATTCTCCACTGTACACCCTCTCCAAGTCTCTTAACATATCCACCATGGAATCGGGAAATACCCAAAACATGCCAAAAGCAACTAAGAACATAACCCAAATATCCCTCGATACTGGGGAATGAAGAAGAAGGTAATTCGTTGTTTCTTCCGTCTTCTTACATATGCAACACCAGTTCACCACAATCAGTCATCCCCTTTTGATATTATCAAGAGTGAGAATGCTACTGAGGGCAACAATCCAAGCGAAAAAAGCCACCTTCAGGGGTTTTCAACTTCCATATCACCTTCCAAGAGAAATTGGGACCTGGGATCTCCATCAGGCTCTGGTAGAAAGACTCAAAGACCTAACCTCAAAAACCCCTCTCAGGGTACCCACCCACACCATCTCATCCATCCCCTTGCCCTCTAGTTGTAGAGTAAAGACAAGAACTCAGCAACCTCCATAAGCTCCCAATCATGAAAGTCTCTATAAAACATGTCCAATGTTAACCTCCCGTTATAAAGCTGAGCCGAGGAAACCTACGACCCAAAACAAAGTTCCCACACCAGTGATCCTCCCAGAAGCTGACATCCCTCCCACTCCAAATTTTGAACCGAATGCGTTTGGAAAACTCATCCCAACCCTTCCGGACAAGCTTCCGAATACCCATGTAACGGTCGCTCATTGCAATTTTCTTAATGGCAAGAGACTGACTTGGGACATGCACTTCAGGAGACAATTATAGAGTCAGAGGACATGTTTGGGTTTTTGGCTTTGATTTATAGCCAGCCTATTGTTGGTGTGGGGATGGATGATTGGCTGGGGGGTGGGAATGAGTCATGGGAGGTTTGAGGTGTGATTTTATTGTCTTCTTTGGTGGTTCAGGGGATATCCTTTCTGTGGAAAGCAATTTGGCGCTCTAATGCCCCCTTGAAGGTAGCCTTTTTTTTGGCTGGACAACTATTTTGGGGAAAATCTTGACTATTGACAATCTGAGGAAGAGGCATCAAATTATAGTCAATTGGTGTTGTATGTGTAAAAGGGATGAGGAGTCGGTGAATCATCTCCTCTTACATTGTCCCAGAGTTAGAGACAGATGGGACATATGTGCCACTTTTGGGATCTAGTGGGTCATGCCATAGTCGGCATTGAGTTTAAGTGATGCTTAGGGAGGGTGTTCAGTGCAGCCTCAAGTTAAAGATGTATGGAGGACGCCCCAGTTTGTCTTTGGTCGACCTTATGGAGAGAGTGGAATAGGAGATCCTTTGATGGAGTGGAATCCTGGGGTGTATTGAAGATTTAATAGTAGAATCAGTGGAGGAAAATCTTTCAATAATTGATGTTGTTTCCTATTATTGAAGTTTTGGTGATACTGGAGGAATGAATGAAGAAAAATCCTCCTTGTTTCCTATTTTCTAATTCTTTCCATTCTCATAATTTCTTCTCCTATATAAACGAGCCTCCACTATTTTATTGTATATGAATTGAGAGAGTACTATAAAAGTGATGTAGCCCTTTGGACTCTTTGTGTCGTGGATGTAGGCCCTAGTGACTGAACCACGTAAATCTGTGTGTTCTACTTGTTTTATTTATCTCTTTGCTTCCGTTTTATGCTTTACATAGTATCAACGCCTAATTTCTCTTCCTAGGTTCAGACCCCTATTTTGGGGTATTCACTTAGCATCTGAAATGTTGCTAAGGGTTTTTCGGTGCTATTTGTGACTTGTTTGGGCTACCGATTTGTTCAGTAGTAATGTTCTTCGCCTTTGCCATGTCTCCGACAGTTTTTATTGACTTGTTTGGGCTCCCAGTGTGTTCGGTAGCATTGTCTTCGTCTTTGAAGTGTCTCCGGCAGTTTTTATCAACTTGATTGGGCTGCTGGTAGCATTGTCCTCACCTTTGCCGTGTCTCCGGCTGTTTTTGTTGACTTGTTTGGGCTGTCAATATGTTGGTAGCATTGTTCTTTGTCTTCTTTCTTCTTTCTTCATCATTCACACTTATTATTACTCGTCATCTCAATGGCAAGTTGGGCATTCATGCTCCAACTTGAGGAGGAGTATTGAAGATTTAACGGAGGAATCAATGGAGGAAAATCTTTCAATAATTAATGTTGTTTCCTATTATTGAAGATTTGGTGTTATTAGAGGAATCAATGAAGAAAAATCCTCCTTGTGGCTAAACGGTTGAACCACGTAATATTTGTGTGTTCTACTTGTTTTATTTATCTCTTCGCTTCCATTTTATGTTTTACAATAAGGTGTTTTTGTTTGTGGGTGAAAGAAAATACCCATGACAAGTGAAAATGCAGACTGAATGGCTAATAAATCTCAATCAACAGCATTTAAAATCATCATAAGACCACTTCAAACCATACATCCCTTTAGGAACTTAAATTTCTATGAAAAGAAAGGAAAAAAAGAAAAACTCATGAACTAAGAAGCACGAAAACACTTCTATAAGGTGTCGTGTCCGTGTCGGACATTAACACTTGATGTGCACTCCTGGACATGTCTCCGACACTTCATGACCATGTGTATAATTTTAATATAATCTTTATTATTTCGAACACTTGTCGACACATCTCGGACACTTGGTCAACACATTCCGGACACTTAACCACATATCCCACACTCTATCTTATATAAAACAAACATACGACAGCCCTAGAAAGAACATTGTGAACATGTATCAAAGTGCCCAACTTCTTTTTCTTTAAAAAATAAAAACATGTCATAGTATGAAATATGTACAAAAACATAACTACTCACATATAATATAATATATTCTTTTCGATATTCAAATTGCTTCACCTTCTAACTTATGTAACTTTAGTATAAAATTAAAAAAATAATTGAAGTTCTATAATTTTCTTATTCAATAGATATATAAAGAAAATTAATATTTATATTAGTCGTGTCCTCGCCGTGTCATGTCCTACTTCTTTAGAATTTAACGTGTCGATGTATCCATGTCATAGTATGAAATAAGTACAAAAACATAACTACTCACATATAATATAATATATTCTTTTCGATATTCAAATAGCTTCACCTTCTAACTTATGTAACTTTAGTATAAAATTAAAAAAATTATTGAAGTTCTATAATTTTCTTATTCAATAGATTAAATTAATATTTATATTAGTCGTGTCCACGCCATGTCATTGTCCTACTTCTTTAGAATTTAACGTGTCGATGTATCCGTGTCGTATCGTCTCCGTGTTCTGTGCCTGTGTCCATGCTTCTTAGCTGATGAACTACCATTAGAGATTGGAAGGCTATGCAAATGATGCATCATTGCTGATAAGGTGAAGAATTATTTTCACAATGACAACCCAGTGTATTTGCATAAAGCATATGTAGAAATACAAAGAAAGTTCAGCAATATAAGATCTCCCCTCATAGAAGAAACGCCCAAAAGAAAGGGAAAAACAAAGATAAAGTTCAATAAATATTATTGAGATTTTCATATTGCATTTGGATTCTTCTAGTCTTTTCTTTTTTAGTTAATTCCCTTTTAGTGAAGATCTCCTTCCACCCTTGCTATGTTCCTTTTACTTTATATGTAGTTTGGTAAGCCATGATTTACTACTTCCAAAATTCATGGCATGTCCGAACCAACTGCGACATGGAATGAAATGAAAAAAAGAGTGAAGGAAAACACACGATCTACCTGAAATGTCGGCAAAGGGTGGAGCGGATGAAAGTAACTCTCGTAGGGTTCATCGCATGTAATGGCTTAAATGGTCCTTCAGCATCCCACCTAATTATAACATGAGAATGGGATCACATTAAATGATTATCTACAGCAATGCATCAGTACCAAGGTTCATTGTGAGCATATTGACATATGTATACGTTTATGAGAGTGACAAGTGCCTTCCAAGTTCCCATTAAAACCAAAATAGGTCATATTGACAAACTGGAAGTCAAACATCTTGGGGATGCATTTGTGAAGGAAGCTCAAAGGATACCCAAGATTATAACTCACTAAATGTCACAATTTCAAGGATGCCAACATGACAGCTTTGAGAAGATGTCAGTATATCCAATTTGTATCAAGATTCATTGCATATGTTTTGCATTAGTTCCAACCCCCCCCCCCCCCCCCCCCCCCCCCCAAACCACAAATTCAGGAAAATGCAAGCATAAAGGAGAAACTTGAGATAATGTTAATCATAGAACCAAAGGAGGATGGGCAAAATGGAGAAGCGGTGTATCCCTCTAAGACCGAAAGGAAGTTCTATAAAACAGCTATTAGACCAGCCATTCCTAATGGGACAAAATGTTGGGCAGATGAGAAGCAGCATATGCACACTGCACGGTGTCACGAAATTTGATGTACACAAAGATAAAAAAAAATAAATAAAAAAAAAGAAGAAGAAGATTTAGAAGAAGATAAAATTAGAAATGCACAAATTTGTGAGATGATAGAAAAAGCATAAATTGGACATAAAATTGAAGGAAATGATTAAGGATGTTTGAAACAACAAAGAATACCACTAAGAGAGGAGCAACATCATCATTTTGACGGTAATGCTTGGGAAAGGAAGACCAAAACTAACATGAATTAGTAACAAAAGAAAGATAACGTGTGGTTTAAGTGAGACGGTTCCTTAAAGCAGAATAAAAAATAGGATTCAAATAGTTAACCTAAAATAGTTGGGAAAGGCTTTGTTGAATTAAGAAAAATAGAATTCATATAGTTGACCTCAAATAGTTAGGAAAGGCTTTGTTGTGTTGAGGAAAATACAAGCATAACACACAAGAAATATATCAATTATATCGACCTTGAGGGTATTGTTATGAACCAAACACCTAATTCCTCTTTTCTTTTCTTTTTTATTTTTCTATTATAATATTTCCAATCTCTTATATTTACAAAAATAAAAATAAAAAATCAGTCTCTTATAATTCGTTGGATTGAGGGAGTGGGAACGAAAACAGATGAAAGGAAAATGAGGAAAAGGCTTTTATGTCGTTCCAAAAAAACCCAGAAAATACCCAAAAACAAAAAACAAAAACAAAAAATAGTCGAGGAAAGGAAAATAAGGAAAAGGTTGTTCACAAAATTAGATACCCCATAAAGTAGGAGGAAATGGAGGATTAAATTAATTAAAAAATAAAAATAAAAATAAAAAAGGAATTGATGATTAGTCACATTTTCCCGTCAATTTTTCTTACTTATTTTTTTTTTTTTTGATAAGTAAAATTTCATAGAAAGGCGCTCAAGAGGGGAGCGCTCCCAAAAGAATACACAAAACGCCAAAGGCGACAACTAAAGCTTTAAGCTATCCACAAAATCCAAAAGATCCCCCAATGATTTACAATTACGCCCGTTCACCCAAAAAAAGAGTAAAGTATGCAGTATGCTGTATTTGAGAGACCAAATAGGAGTCTCCTCACCCTCAAATGATCTCCTATTTCTCTCACGCCGCAAACCCCACCATAAACAAAGGGGAGTGGCCCTCCAAACAACCTTGGCTCAGCTCTCCACTAGACACCCTTTCCAAGCCTCAACCATATCCATAATGGTTCTTGGAAACACCAAGAAATGCCAAAAGCGACCAAAAACATAGACCAAACATCCCTTGCCACCAGGCAGTGAAGAAGGAGATGATTCACTGATTCCTCCGTCTTCTTGCACATACAACAACAGTTAACCACGATCTGTCGTCTCCTTCTAACATTGTCAAGGGTGAGGATGCTATCGAGGGCTACACACCAGGCAAAGAAAGCCGCCTTCAAGGGAGCTTTAGATCTCCAAATCGCTTTCCATGGGAAGGAAGGACTTAGAGTCACCGACAAATTGTGATAGAACGCACTGACCTCGAACACTCCTCTCGGCGTGCCCACCCACACCATCTCATCCATCCCCACACCCTACATCGCCTACCTGTAAAGTAAGGCTAAAAACTCAGCAATCTCTGTAAGCTCCCAATCATGGAACTCTCTATGAAACTGCACATCCCAAGTCAATCTCCTGTTATCAAAATAAAAATCAATCTCTTATAATTCATTGGATTGAGGGAGTGGGAACGAAAACAAATGAAAGGAAAATGAGGAAAAGGCTTTTATGTCGTTCCAAAAAAACCCAGAAAATACCCAAAAACAAAAAACAAAAACAAAAAGAGTCAAGGAAAGGAAAATAAGGAAAAGGTTGTTCACAAAATTAGATACCCCAAAAAGTAGGAGGAAATGGAGGATTAAATTAATTAAAAAATCAAAAAAAAAAAAAAAAAAGGAATTGATGATTAGTCATATTTTCCCGTCAATTTTTCTTACTTATTTTTTTTATATAAGTAAAATTTCATAGAAAGGCGCTCAAGAGGGGAGCACTCCCAAAAGAATACACAAAACGCCAAAGGCGACAACTAAAACTTTAAGCTATCCACAAAATCCAAAAGATCCCCCAATGATTTACAATTACGCCCGTTCACCCAAAAAAAGAGTAAAGTATGCAGTATGCTGTATTTGAGAGACCAAATAGGAGTCTCCTCACCCTCAAATGATCTCCTATTTCTCTCATGCCGCAAACCCCACCATAAACAAAGGGGAGTGGCCCTCCAAACAACCTTGGCTCAACTCTCCACTCTACACCCTTTCCAAGCCTCAACCATATCCACAATGGTTCTTGGAAACACCAAGAAATGCTAAAAGCAACCAAAAACATAGACCAAACATCCCTTGCCACCGGGTAGTGAAGAAGGAGATGATTCACTGATTCCTCCATCTTCTTGCACATACAACAACAGTTAACCTCGATCTGTCGTCTCCTTCTAACAATGTCAAGGGTGAGGATGCTATCGAGGGCTACACACCAGGCAAAGAAAGCCGCCTTCAAGGGAGCTTTAGACCTCCAAATCGCTTTCCATGGGAAGGAAGGACTTGGAGTCACAGACAAATTGTGATAGAAAGCACTAACCTCGAACACTCCTCTCGGCGCGCCCACCCACACCATCTCATCCATCCCCACACCCTATATCGCCTGCCTGTAAAGTAAGGCTAAAAACTCAGCAACCTCTGTAAGCTCTTAATCATGGAACTCTCTAAGAAACTGCACATCCCAAGTCAACCTCCCGTTATCAAAACGATAACAATCGACAACGATGGCATGTTGAGTCAAAGAAATCCTAAAAAGCCGAGGAAACCTACGAGTAAGAATACAATCCCCACAACAATGGTCCTCCCAAAATATGAAGTGACTCCCACTCCGAACCTTGAATCGGATGCATTTTGAGAACTCATCCCACCCCTTCCGGATAAGCTTCCAAACACCCATACCTGCTGGAAATCTCACCTCCCTAGACAGCCACCCACCATCACCCTCTCCATACCAGCAAGCAATAACCCTACTCCAAAGAAGGGACCTCTCACTCCCAAATCTGCACAACCATTTGCCCAACAGCGCCATGTTGAACAATCCAATCTCTGAATGCCCAAACCCCCTTCTGAGTAGGGAACACACCTCCCAATTCACCAAGTGGTATTTAAACTAGTCTCCAACACCACCCTATAAAAAATTCCTCTTAATCTCTTCCAGCCTTCGAAATAGGGAATAGAGACATGAAGTAGGTTGGAAGATTTGAAAGAGAACTTGTCAAAAGTGTGATCTTTCCCCCTTTTGAGAGATATTACTTCTTCCACCCTGCGAGACGCCTCTCGAACCGCTAAATCAAGGGATCCCAAACAGAAGTCCTCCTCGACACGGCACCCAAAGGAAGCCCTAATTAGGCAATCGGAAGGGTGCCGACACCACACCAAAGAATGTTAGCAAAATCCTGAATTCCTTCAACTTCCCCAACTGGAACTAGCTCACTTTTGCTTATGTTGATCTTCAACCCTGAGACGACTTCGAAGCAAGCCAGCACATATCTCAAGAACCTCAACTGATCCACCCTAGCATCACAAAAGACGATCGTGTTATCTGCCAAAAGCAAATGAGAGATAACCATCTAATTGGGACTGTTTCCCACCAAGAAACCTCAAATAAAACCCAACTCCTCTGCCCTCCTCATCAGTCTGCCAAAAGCCTCCATGACAATGATAAACAAAAATGGAGAGAACGGGTCTCCCTGCCACAAACCTCAAGAACTCACGAAGAAACCAGTTGGGGAGCCATTTACCAAGACTAAAAACCGCACGGTAGAGATGCAATCGAGTCAATTCTTCTTACTTATCAAAAAATAAAAATAATAAATAAAATCCCCTATCAATTTAACGAGAGAGGTCCTACATTTCCCTTTTCTTAAACAAGAGTAAACTTCATACCATTTATTTTCTCTCTAATAACTTTTTCAAAAAGACAAGATTACCACTATCCTTTCCTCTTTCTTTTCAGTCATTCAAACAAGAGGTATCCTTATTCTCTTTCTCTTATTTAATGGTATTTTCCTTTCCATCCCCTCCAACTTATTAATATGACCAAACAAACTACAATGACATTATATAAATTAATAGTTTAACTATTATTAATCATGTTGTGTTCATCCATTTATAATTGTTATAGTTGTTGTAGACTTAATCAACCAAGTCATCCAAGTAGTCCTAATACTCTCACTTCCAAGGGTAGTGGGACTGGATCCTCATGGTGATTGTACCCTTGCTTGTTCATTTCCCAGATTGTTTAGGATTGCTGTTGATAGGCATGCCTCGGTTGCTGATTGCTATCGGCTTGATAACGGGAGGTTGACTTGGGATATGCAATTTGTGCGAGCGTTTTAGGATTAAGAGTTGGACGACAGTTGCATGTTATTAGATCGT